CCTTTTTCTCACTACATTGCACAAAGCACACTTAACCATACAGTCTGCACTAAATATGTCATGATGTCAGGTGCTTCTGATTGGTCAGTTTTGCTGTATATTATGCCTTTCAACACTGAACGCTGGAATTTACACAACCTTCTTATCTGATCTTGCTTTTGTCATGAGTTACTCTTAACTCCATCCTCCGATGGCTGACGAACCTGTGAAACCGGTTTGGTTTGTACCGATGACAATGAAGGTGGGGTTTAAATCTGTAAAGATGTTGTGGAACAAGTTGTAGGCTGAACAAAGTTCATAAGGAGCGACTGAGCCATAGTGCTGCTTTCTGCGTGAATGTCGTGGCTGGTTCGATTTTCTTTTCTTTTATATTGTGTTTAAGATCTTTTTTTAATATCATTGTTTGTGTTCTGGATCGGACTGGAATTCTTAGATCTGGATCATAATGGTAGGTGAATGACCTTTTTATTGCTGCAGTTGCTGCAGTAATCTTTGATTTCCAAAATGTTTTAGAGATTTAGGCCACGAAAGATGGCCCTTAAATTATGTTGCAGTGTTAGGCCTGCATGGAGTGATCTAAGTAGGATGATGTCATTGTTGTGTACAGTCATTAGGCTAAAAGAGCGACCGTAAAATGTGTAAATATCAGCAACTTCCTCTCATTGAATAGTGGACCATTTTATGAGAAAATATTTTGTTATACTAGCGGCTTGTTTCAGTACAAAGGTGCAACAGTCGATAAATCAAAGTGAAGAGTTTATTGATCAGTGTTAAACAACAGCTACATTATATGAGCCAGTACATGGGGAATGTAGTTACCTGCTTGTTGAGATGTTATTTGCTTGTTATTGGTGACGGTTTATACACTGGTGAAGTGAGGGTGCCAGTAATGACCTGTAGGCCTTTGTTTTCACTCCTGGCAGATTGGCTCAATCTTTGGAGCCTGAACCTTCTGACTTCCAAACCCCCAGTCAGCTGTCTCCTTCCCCAGCCAACTCTGAGTCCATCCTGTCCAGAGTCCCATCTGGCTCCCCTGATACTTTCTCCCGCCTCCACTCATCTTTAGCTCCAAGAAATAGCAATCAAAGCCCACCTAGTTCTCCCCGTGGCAACACAGAGAATTTGTCATCTGGATCTGAGGGGTCTTCACCCACCATGGCAGATCAGAACAGAAGGGCCCTCCTACCACCCACTTACAGGAGCCAAACCAGAGGAAATCTTACTCCTGTCAGAGAGATTCAAAACCCGGCTTATGAAGAGCCAGAAGAACCGCAACCAGGCAAAACCTCTGTGCCACTTCCAGATTATGAAACCCTCTTCCCTCAGAGGAGACACGGGGTGAAAGGGCAGCCTCGATGGGATAATATAATTGCTGAGGTCAATCAGAAACACAAGGGTGCACCTGTACTCTTGGGTCCTGAGATGAGTGTGGATGGTCCATTGGAGCGTACACCAAGTCCTAGGTCTTCTGTTTCACTGGAGACTCCTAACATGAGGCTTTCCCAAGCTAAACCTCAGGAGACCAAACCTGTGTCAACAAAAAAAGCACCAGCCCCGACTCCTCCTAAACCAGTGACATCTCCACTTCCACGATCAGCAGCAGATTCCAGTCAGAAACAAAGCCCGAGTGTTTC